AAATAAAGTTGGTCCTAAGAGCCATTTGAGCAACTGACATTGAATGTATTGCCACGTGCTTTTTATAGCAAGATCGAAGCCTTTTTATCAATGTTGTACTGTCTCTGGAAAGTTGTAATGCTTTCGTCAACCTCTTTCAGATATGTGCTTGTGAGCAAGGCTTCGAGCTGAAGAGCAGTGGCGGAATCTGTGAGGATGTGGATGAGTGCCGGAGGTTGGGTGGTCGGCCTTGCAGTCAGACCTGTATCAATACCGAGGGCTCCTACCGCTGTACCTGTCATCCTGGCTACTTGCTGGAGCCTGATGGTCACACCTGTAAAGCGACAGGTTAACTGGAGCTGGGAATATCTCCTAGGCTGGGTCACAAGCTTCAAGGTCCTAAATCTTCCAGGAATACCAATACAAATCTCCTTTTCAGGTCTTAAATGCTCCTGGCAGCTTTGTCTGTCTTTAGAGCAAGATTAGCAGAATCTCAAAACACTCTTTTTAAACCTCTTATTTCAGACTGAATTTGAGTTTGAAAGAGTCTACCAATAAGGCATTATTATAACAAAACCATAAGTGTGGCCTTGTACCCATGAGTCAGCCTTACCTGAAGCTAGAATAAGTGTCCGAAGTCCTAACAAACACTTCTTTCCTGCCCACCTACCCCCAAATATTTAGTTAGAAATGTGGTTTTCAACTTAAGCCAACCACGCCTTTATTCTAAGTGTCTTCAAATGTGGGTATCAGCTTAGCCAGTACATCAAGGGAAGAGCTACTTAGATACCAGATGGCTGGTATCACAGCCCTGGCGATGAAAAGGCAAAGGCTACTTTGTCCTCTGATTCTTAGCCAGTGCTGGGGTTTACTGTTCCAACTCCTTAAAACTACACTGAAAGCAGTTCTTATTCAACAGGTACTGAACCGATCCTGCTTGTGGCCATTCAGTTTAACCTGCTTCTCTATGGACTAAGGAGCTTGAAAGAAGATATTCTGGCAGCTACAGACAAGAACCTGGTTATTTTCTCTATTGACTATGACTTACTGGATCAGAAAGTCTTCTGGACAGAGCTCGGTGCAGAAAGTATTAAGTGGATAAGCATGGACGCAAAAAAGAAAGGGACTGTAGTAAAAGGTATGCCCCCTGCCCTTACTAAATACACATGGCATGGAAAACGAAATGAGAGGCCATTAACGTTCTAAACATTGGCTTAGTCGTATCTCCTCAGTTAAAAAGGGTCAAGGCTTGCTAGTTGGTTGAAATGGAAAGATGCATTGTCATCTCAGTGGACTGGGGAGTAAGCCATACTATCAGCCAGTGACCAATCTGAGCAATGGTCATCTTCCTCTACAAATACTACTTTGGAGCATTTTTAAGAAGACTGCTTTGATGGAAATGCATATGCCAGTTGAAAAATTAATTAACATGGCATGCTAGTCTGATGCCTCTGAACTAAAAGCTAGTTAAGAGCTATAATTTAACCTAAGTACACATGTTGAATGGTTTCCTCTCTTTAGGAATAAAGTCAGACTGTATGGTGGTGGATTGGATTGGGAGGAATCTCTACTGGACAGATGGCACAGCTGGCCAGATTTTGGCAATTCAGTTGACTGCTGTGTGGCGAGGAAAACCTGAGTACACAATTGTCCTGGATGATAACTTAAATCAGCCACGGTCTTTGGCTTTAGATCCCTTAAATGGGTGAGTCCAGGCATAACAGTGTCTGGTCAAGTCCTTTAAGTGTGTTATTCCTCCTTAGTTCTTCTTTGGTTGTGTTCACTCACCACAGAACAAGTGAACTGAAGAAACCTTATCTGACTTTATATTCTATGGTGATGTAGATCAATCACACATAGTAATTTTGAAAGCTTCTGGAGAAAGTCCTTTATCTCAGTAAAGTGAGCTGTAAGTTGTTCACTTGGTAGCACACCTATACTTTATTTTGCTGAAATAAGCAAATATACCTCTGAATAGAGAATTTTTATGGTTCTAAAATTGCAGGGGGATGGAGAATGGAACTAGATATAGTATTTAATTTACAATAATGTGCTTGGGGTTGGGAGGCAGGATAATTGTATCTTGGAATTAAACCTGGGTTCTTCATCTAGTGTCCTTTCTCTGGGAACTTAGAAACATTTCCTACTTGGCAGAGCCAAGCCCTCACTAGGATGTATATATATATATAGTTAATATGCAAAGTGTCCCCTTGGGAGTTCAACCAGAGACTGGGAGTTCGATCGCTCGCTATGACATGTGCTGACCACCAGGGAGCAATGTGGAATGAAGGAAGGCCCCAGCCGGCAGCTGGAAGGCTCCAATCGGCCCTGATTGCCAGCCAGGCCTAGGGATTCTACCAGTGCATGAATTTTGTGCACTGGACCTCTAGTATATATATAATGAAAAAATAGCTGGGCTAGTGTGGCTCAGTGGTTGAGCATTGATCTATGAACCAAGAGATTGCAGTTCAATTCCCTGTCAGGGCATATGCCCAAGGTTGCAAGCTTGATCACCAGTAGGGGGCATGCAGGAGGCAGCCAATCAATAATTATCTCTCATCATTGATGTTTCTTTTTTGTTTTGTTTTGTGAATCCTTCCCCAAGGATATTTTTCCATTAATTTTTAGAGAGTGGAAAGGAGGGGGACAGAGAGAGAAACATTGATGTGAGAGAGATACATCAATTGATTGCCACACGATCGAGCCCGCAACTGAGGTACATGCTCTTGACCAGAATTGATCCCAGGATCCTGATGCTCTAACAACTGAGCCAAATTGGCTAGGGCTCATCATTGATGTTTCTATCTCCCTTTCCCTCTCCCTTCCTCTCTGAAGTCAATAAAAATATATTTAAAAATAAAAAATAAGACAGAACAAAACTCAGGATTCAAAGGGAACCCAGATTGGGTATCCTTCCTGTTTTTCTCACCTTTTCAATATCTTCAACCAGGAATCTGTTAATATGGTCCTCAGCAAAATGACAGTAGTTTTGATGCAGCTAATGGCTTGTGGCCAAGAATAAGGTCTGCGGCACATGTCTGCCCATGGAGCTAGCATACTTTCCAGCCCACAAAAGATTGTCAAGTTTCCTGAATATTTCCATGGCTTAGGGACTAATGTATTCCTAGCCTTCTTACTCAACTATCATGATATTTTACCCACAAATGAGGACTAAACAATCACCATAAAATATCAAGAAAACCTTTTACTACTTTACAATTTTGCTTAAGGAATAGACCAAGTTTACATTTGAAGAAAAAAATAATTGGGCTTCAAATCACTGTTTTAAGGGATGAATTGATGTTATTTTCTCTGAGGTAGTACTTTATCCCAAAGCTGACTTTTATTCACATAGGTTAATGTACTGGTCTGAAATTGGAGGAGATCCTCACATAGAACAAGCTGGAATGGATGGTAGCAGGAGAAAAGTACTCATCAATAAAGGTCTTGGCTGGCCAACTAGCATAGTTCTTGACCAGTTGAGTTGGAAGATATTCTGGTCCGATGACAAATTTCACTGTATTGGCTCTGCCAATCTAGATGGCACTGGAATTAGCGTAAGTGTTCTTTTGGTACTAGATTTGTACAAAATGTCATGTGTCTTGTGTAAAATCCCAGAAACCTCACCTTCCCCATTTTAGATGTTGCAGTTAACACAGATCAAGAGCCCCTTTTCAGTCGCTGTATTGGAGGATGAAGTCTTCTGGTCTGAAACAAAGACAAGAACAGTACAACGTATGAAGAAGATGACAGGCAAGAACAGGGCTGTCCTCATCAAGCGTATTGAACAGCCTTATGGACTCAAGGTCTATAATGCACTCTTCAAAGTATCCCCCTCATTCTCCCTGAAAAGGCTACATATGTGAACTTCCCAAAGTACAAACTGGAGTGACATCCCTCTATGATGATTAAAAAGGAAGATTTATTCACCTGCTATTTCCAAGGATTCAATAAGGTATACTGACATCTAGCTGTTTTCTTCCAGATAATGCACGAAGTCCTACAGCCCAGGTCTTCTAATCCTTGTCTGGACACTGGATGTTCTCACTTGTGCCTTCTGAGCCCACGATCCAAGGGAAGCTGTCATTGCCCGGTCGGACTCCTGCTTGCAGATGATGGCATCAACTGTGTCCCTGTCAAGGAGTCTGCCTTTCTGTTCCTTGTGTTGCCCACGGTTATCATACAGGTATTGTCCACAGGCGTCCTCATGTGTCTGTGCTTGGGCTACATCCTGTTTCAGACAGTAATCTGAATTCTTCATGTACAGTTATAAATAGGGGCTCTTTCCCTTGGAATATTCTTCACACATGACTTAAATTTTAGTATTCACTGTGTGCTGGGAACTATCATGACCAAAATAAAGTAGCTATGAAATAAGAACAAGTTCTACTTAAAATCCTTTAGGAAATGCTTAGTACATCAGAACAGTGAGGTTTAATTTAGTTTAGACAACTTTGTTAAGTTGTCCAAGCGCCTGGATAATGATGTAGATTCCAAATACAAACAGCTTGGCTCCGTTCTAGCCTGGAGGTGGGGGCAAGTACATTTTGTGATGGAACTTTTCTTAAACCATAGGGAGATAAAAGGTAGTGGCAAGCAAGTCACCCCTAACTTCTAATATCTAGAGGACTTGGCATTTAAAAAAACACAAAAATTTGGGGGTGGAAGATAGATTTTAGCTTCCTTAAGATCTTAATAGTTGAAGCTCACTTAAAGGGGAGGACCTTTAACAGAAGAGTAAATCTTCAAAACACCCAAATACAAGGAATTTAAAGTGCTTGAAGCTCCAGGAAAGGAGAGAAATAACTGCTGTCTGCTTTTAGAAAATAGAATATTTGAAAATGTGAATTTAAGTATTTAATATGAATTTAACATTAATGTAAAATCAAGGTAACGAATTAGACTAGATGCAATTGGTACCATCCACTTAACTTTTTTCCCCATAGATTTATCTGAAAAATATAGAAACTTTATTAGGACAAGCAACTTTACCAGAACATAGGGTACTTCCCTTTACCAATATGAACCAGCTGGCATCAGTGGACTACCTTGTCCAGGAAAAGACACTCTACCTTTCAGAGTTGGGTAATGGTGATATCAGACTACTGAGGCTCAAAGAATCTGGAAAGCTTTCTTGGAGGAAAATCTTATCTGCAAAGGGGACAGTAATCGACCTTGCTGTGGACTGGTTGAGTGGAAACATATATTGGATTGACAGTGAAAACCCGCATATCAATGTAGCTTCATCCAAAGGCCAGTATTCCACTGTTTTGTTCAGCAACAATCTGTCCCACCCAACCTGTGTTGCACTCCATCCACCCACTGCAATCATGTGTTTTGTGGATCTGGGTTCCCAGGATGGTGGTGGGCGTGGTTCCAGCATCAACTGTGCCTCCATGGATGGCATCAGGAGGAAGGTGCTGTGGCAGAAATCGCAGGTCCCAGTGGGACTGACCTTTTCAGATTCAGGGACCCGAGTATACTGGGCTGATACTGGTAAGTAATGATTACCTCCACCCTAAGTGGGAGTCAGAGGGACCTTGGCCAGAGTGAAGTAGAAATGTTCAGTTTTCTGGTCTTCAGGCATAATAACTTCAAATAGCTTTTATGTCTGAGTTTATATTTTCTGTACCACTTTCTAAACAAATACAATCTTTCCCCATCCTGAGTTGCATATAAGAGCCCATAGTCATGCAATAACCCCTTTGTGAAGGCATAACATCAAGACCTTAAAAAATATGCATGAGCAAATATTTGTGTATCATTGTTAGAGTAGAATGAATGAATGAAGAATTGGCCTTCAGAGAATGGATGAAGATAGTCTCCTCCTGGAGAGGAGGCAAGACAAGATGTAAAGAGTTGAAGGAGAGAGCACAGCTGTTTGGGCTAAATAAAATAAACCAAACCTCTCTTTCTAGGGAGAGGACTCATAGAAAGTATTCAACAAGATGGCTCTAGATACAGAGTAGACCGCAAAGGAATTCAGGGCCTTAACCTCTTTACATATGGCCAAAGCATGATGTTCTGGACAACAATCGATGATGGTAGGTCTGAACTCTGTATCTGATTGTCTTTGTGATCTGAGTTTACTCCTGTGTATCTAAAGCGAATCTGCAACTGCTTAGGACTGGTCTCTGCTGGTGCCCTTCTTTTAGAAGAAGAGCCAAACAATGCCCCTAACAGAACATGTACGTGTAACAGTGATTCTGTGACTTGAGGGAGCTTTAACTTTTTTTTGGTTATTCTTTGTATAGTCCAGTTCTGCCTGAGATTTCTGGCATTTATATGAGGCTCTCTGCTTTGGAGGACACCTGTTATGGTAGAGAGAGAGAGAACTGGACCAGAAAATGGAACTAGGTTGTATAACTGCTCTGTCAGTTAGTAGCTAGTGGCTAACACCTTACCTGTAAAATGAAGACACTCCCTGTTTCAGGTGACTAAATACACATGAAAATACTAGGTAAAATATAGAACATCTTACACTTGCAAGGTATTTCTAGTATATTCAGAGAGATCGTCGTAAATCATAGTGCTCTAATATATTGCTTCTGGTTAGAATCTAGACTTGCTAAAACCAGAAAATGCACAATTTATGTGTTTAAAATAAATGTGTCTCTTTATATTTTCCAATTCTGGTGCATTGACCAGTTGGGCTGGCCACATCAGAATTTCAAAGACAAATTGTCAGATCCTACCCCAGAGATGTTAATTTATTAGGTATGTGAGAAGGCCTTTACCATCTATTTTAAGATTCCCCTGGTGACTCTTGTAGCAGAGAAGCCATTTTCAGAAATGTTCTAGAACAATGTTTAAAATCATTATCTATCATGTATGGGCTGCATCTAAGCATCATATATCCTAATTTCCTGTCTTTAGATATCTGGGCATACATGAATGTTCTCAACATAGCTTATTAACACCTAATTTTATTTTGGAGAAAGGCATAGAATGTTGTCTTTTATTTATCTGAAGTTTCTTCCCAGAAACATGATTTAGAAAAATACATACCTCTTCTGTAAAGCTGTTGTTCCTCAACTGGAGTTTAGCAAACAAGTGACAGTTTTCACATTGAGCAATATTCTTTGCCTAGGAAGTTGTTTTAATTTCACTTTTGTTAAGGATTGTTCACTGCCCTTTGTTTCAGCCCAAATCACTAAAGTTTGGTACAGCAAGGCAGAACTTTCAGAAAACCGGTGGTTCCAAGTAGACCTGAAGATTGTGGATTTAAAAGTTTACAGTAAACTTTCTCAACAGGGTAAGTGACTCTGCAATGATTATAACAGTACTGAAGTCTACTGGATTTCCCCATGGAGGGGATGGATGCTCCCTCCTACATTATCGCCTTGAAATATCTTTGAAATTTCCATTAAAATATTTATCTGGCAAATTCCTATAGATCTACACAATTCTCTTGTCTTTATGCAGTTATATACAGTCTGGTTATGGTGTATAACTAGTTCTGTTACTTATCAAGGAGACATAGCAGTGGTAAGTATATTGTAGTTTGGTACACTTGGGTTCTACTTTCAGTTCTATTATTGTAGATTAATGACAACTATGGTATAAAAAAAACCCTTTTAGCTCTAAAGTAGAGGGAGTCTTCATTCTACTCATTGTCACTTGTATCTACTTGTGATGTCAACTAATCCTTGAAATATCAACTGGGGGTGGTGCTCAGATGTTTTTCTCCACCTTTCTTATGGACAGATATAGAGTGCCTACCTGAATTTTTGAGGATGATGATGATGGGCTTAGTTGAAGTAGTAAGAGAAGTGATCTGTTCCTAGTGGAGATTAACCCCAATAATGTGAGCTCAAGTAGTTCATCATACCTACCACTACCATGGATAATTGAGTATGCATATTAGTCTTAAGAGAATGCTGCCCCATGCTTTGTTTTTGAAAGCTAACCTTTCTAGCTGATGTTAGTCATGCTTCAACTTTAAAGTCTTGGCTTTTCAGGATGAACCTTTTAGAATTCTTCAGTGTGATAAATGGTCACATCATAAAAGCGATGATAATCTGTGGCTTAATTCTGAGAACCAGAAAGAGGGTCTCTATCACCCTTAAAGCAGGTTTTATCTATACTACATGCTTACCTATTCCACAATTCCTGGAATATCTTAAAACGTAAACCCTCACTTCTAGATATAAGATATAAGCTTTCAAGCATTATGGGAAGCTATAAATGGCTGGCTTAATCAGACTATTCTCTCTCTCTCTCTCTCTCTCTCTCTCTCTCTCTCTCTCTCTCTCTTCCAATTCCCCCACACCCTCTAGCAACCACCAATCTGTTCTCTATCTATTATTCTTAGAGGGATCATAGAAACCATAGCCTCCATATTTTCATCTAAAGAGAGCTTTATTTGTAAGAACCTTCTAGCTCTGATGCTGGATGCTTGGTGTGAGGGGAGAAGAGAGGTCACAATGGGATTTTGAATGAATCAGAGTTTACCTCAATTATTCTTAAGCCCATCCGTTGTCTGAACTCCTAAGTTCCTATAGCCATTCTTATCCATGAAGAAGAATCACCAATCACTTGGTACCTAGTTGACTAAAAGAAATTAAGTTAATGAGATGTATCCTGTGGGGGAAAATATCTGGATCCTATAACTCTGATAGTCTATTTGCAGAAGACTCATCTGAAAAAAATCTAAATCAGTATATTTTGGGGGGTTGGGGATCCACAGGTAGTAACAGCTGCTCAAAAGACAATGGAGGATGTAGCCACATTTGTTTACCAAACCCTGAAGGACAGACTTGTAAATGTTCCAGTGGCTACTACTTGGCTGACACAAACAGATGTATTGAAGCTGTCCGATGCTCTGCGCCATTACAAGCCTGTAAGGATGGTCAGAAATGCATTTCCATGGAGCAAGTGTGTGATGGTCATGCTGACTGTCTGGATGCATCTGATGAAATGGGCTGTGAGTAGCTCCTATTCATCACCAGGACTGGCTTACTTTTAGTAATACCTAGTTCCTCAATATTCCTTAGGCTTTTATTCTCTAAATGATTACATCATTATCACTGTACACTCTTTAAACTGAACAATAGGACACTTCCGATGGGGCTGTTGGATGTAGATTTGAACCCCTTGTGAAAAGCTGATGTGCCCTCTGTACTGATTTTAGAACAGGTAATGTGATAGTGAGCTCCGAAGGGCTAGACAGTTTGTATGTTGCCTGAAAGAACACTCATTTAACCTAGATTTGACTCAGTACATTTTTGATCACTTGGTGAGCATAGCCAGGGGAAGTTGGTTAGGCAAACTATTTGTCTTGTCTTGGGTCCCTCTTTTTAATGTGGAAATAGCACTTTCTACCTCACAGAGGTGTTAAGAAATATAAGAGAATGTGTGTGTATAAGGCTGCCATACTAGTTCTTAAATGCTAACTGTAAATGGCTGTTACAGAAATACTGTGCCAAATAGTGCCTTCATGGAACAGCGTTTTCATGGCCAGTCATCTGAACAGCTATATCTAATTCTGCTTGTAACCGCCACCCTCTAATCCCATAGCTCCAGCTCCAGTGATATCCAAGTCCTATAAGCATAGAATTGAAGAAGCAGTGGGCTTGGTACTGAGACTGGTCATAACTAGTAAAGAAAAAGATTTGGAAAATGAATCTTACAGGGAACAGTTCTCATTACTTCTCAATTTAAATCCTCATCTAAAACCCGACTGGCTGGAAGACAAATTATTACCCCTTATCACTTCATTTTAACTAGGAAAGACAAAGACCAAAGACCAAGAGTTGATTCTATGGTCTTGCCCTTCCTGTGTAGGCAGTGACTCAGAGTGGGGAGTGTCAATGAGTGAGACATTTATCACCCTCATCACCTGGTTTTAAAGCCAAACCAGAAATCTAACATACCTTCCCTTGCTCTCCCATCCCTGGTGACCTAGGCTCAAGAGTTAACTCTTTTCTTTAATAATGATTTCACTCTGACTTTTACATAACTTGTTTTGGAGGGGGTGGTACTGGGTGCATAAAGTTAGATTGGCTTCCTCTGGATATACCTTACCATGAGGGACCCTAAACTGTCCAGGAGTGGAAACACGCCTGTGGACCAGCTTAAGAAAGAAGCAAGAATAGTTTCATTGCTAATATTTACTTTGGTCTTTAGTGTTCACATGAGGAATAACACCTGTGCCAACAATGACAGAGAATATGGTGAAGTGCTTTAAATACAAAGTTAACTTCAGATTCCTCTGTGGTTAAAAGCACCCTGTTGCCTACTGCCTGCCTAATGCGTGCCCCTCCTACCACCACCATGAAATCTGGTTCAATACTTGTGACTTGTAGATCCTGCTAAAACCTATAGTTTACTTGAACTCAAAAAGTCTTAAATACTTATATACTTACATTTATATATATATATATATATATATATATATATTGATTTTTTATAGAGAGAAAGTGAGAGGGATAGAGAGTCAGAAACATCGATGAGAGAGAAACATCGATCAGCTGTCTCCTGCACACTCCCTACTGGGTATGTGCCAGCAACCAAGGTATATGCCCTTGACTGGAATCGAACCTGGGACCCTTCAGTCCACAGGCCGATGCTCTATCCACTGAGCCAACCCGGTTAGGGCTATATACTTACATTTTAAAGAAAATCTTTCTAGCCTATACATTTACTATTCAGATCTACCACACTAATTCTTATAGAATAGAACATAGTAATTGATGGAATCTACCTTGGCTAACCTATACATACCATCATCTAAAAGTAGATGGGTATGGTCAATAGACTGTTCCTGAAACCAAACATTTTAAGTGCTGTAAGATATGCAGTTTTTAATATAAATTTCAATAGTTTTTTTATTTGGCCCCAAGTAATAGTAGTGATTTATGATTTTATAAATTCAACCGTATCTGGTTTAGTCTGTTAGAATTCTTGTTCTTCTGACATATTTCTTAACAGACAAATATGTGTATATACCCATACTTCTACCTACTGTTTTTGTAGGTGCCTATCCAGATAAAACCCATTCAACACTAGCACTTGGAAAGCTAGAGGCTGGAAAAAGGGTGACTCCTAAAGCTGCCCAACCTCTCCAGGCTGCCAAGCCCCCAACACTAGATATGTGGGTCCAGAAGAGACGGATTATCCTGTCAGAAAAACACTGATCCCCTCGATTCCTGATAGAGAAAGCAAGACCTCAGAAAACAACGAAAGAGGGAAGCTTGTTCAGCCCAAGGACACACAGGCCGCAAAACATCTGCCCTGTGGCAGCGATTTCTGTAATGGGAGGGGAATCTGCACCGTGGAAGGAGAGCTGCGAAGATGCAGCTGTCCCATGGAATACGGTGGGGACTTCTGTGAAGAGGCAGTGCGTGGACCTGGCCCGGGCTACATCGCCCTCAGCTTCACCATCACCTTGTCAGTTGTTCTGGTAGTTCTGGGAGCATTTGTGTATTTCAGAAAAGAACGTGAACGAAAAAGGTGAGCAGCTCTTAATGTCCTGATGGGAGAGTTTTATTCCCAAGAAGTCGCTTCTAAAATAAGAGGAATGGGGTTGGAGGTAGGAGTCCACTCTAGAAATTTGTCCTCTGAGAAAGGCTTGAGGTGATGAAGCAGCCTCCCCTGTTAGATGACCTGAAAAAAAAATAATTGGGACCATCTTTTTGAGTGATTTCTCGGGCAGATACATCCGCCTCTACAGTTGTCAGTGGCACAATCTCTGGAGGATTGAATAAAGTGAGGAGATTCCCCACCAATGAGGCAGAGCTGGTGCCAATGATTTTTGGAGGAAGAATTTGTTAGGAGAGGTGTATTAGTTTGCTTGGGCTGATATAACAAATACCACAGAGTGGGGTATTAAACAACAGCACTGTATCTTCTCACAGTTTTGGAGGCTGGAAGACTGGAATGAATGTATCAGTGGGGTTGGTTTTTTCTGAGGCTGAGGGCTGGTTTCTCCTGGAATTGTAGATGCAGGCTGCTCTGTGTCTTCCATGGTCTTCCCCCTGTGCAGGGCTGTGTCCTGATCTCCTCTTCTCGGACACCAATCATATTAGATTAGGGCCCAAACTAATGACCTCCTTTTAACATAATTACTTCTTTAAAGACTCTCTTTCCAAATGAGACTACAGTCTAAGCCTTAGACTCTAAGTTAATGGAGCTTATGACTTTGGCATATAAATTTGGAAGAGGCACCACTCATTCCATAACAGGAGGTGAAATAAAGAAACTCAGGAAAGATTTAAAGCAAAAACATTGTTTTGTCAAAGAGCTAGGGAATCACTGGATTAAAGAAACAAACAAGAATAACAAAAATCACGATTTAAATGGACACAGACATTGTGGGGGTGTGGGCTTGCCCAGGGTGGGAATGACTGGGCGGGGTGGGGTGGGGGGGGGGTGGTCAATTGGGGTAAAAGAAGACATATGTAAAACTTTAGACAATAAAAAAAATCATGATTTAGAGTAGGAATGATGGCAAAATAAGCTTTAGAGTGGGGAGATATCGTAACCGAAGAAACTGATTAGATAAGTAGACATTAAACAGCTTATGTATCAAGAAATACAGAGATGACGAAAGTTGTAAAAGTTACATCTCTGCCCAGCCTTCACGTTACAGACTAAAGGAAAGGCCAGGAGAAGTGATTGTTTTTGCCCAAGGTAGCACTGGTTAGTTAATAGCTAAATGGTTAATATTAAGATGAATGAGATGCTACCCTTGGGGTCTCTGATTGTCACCACATTAACTTGCCGCTTGTGTCCAGGTGCCACTTACCTGTCCTTGGATTCAGTACCCATTGCCTCCCGTTACCTAGTTCCCCTCAATTGAGACGATGTATCATTTCAGAAGTTAGATGAATGCCTAGTAACAAATAATAATTGACTCAAGAGTTGCCCATTTTAGGTTGTTTGCGTTGTTAAAGAGACAATCAAAACTGCGTAATTCCTTAAAAAATAACCTTGACTAGGGCACACATTGGCCCTTTCTAAACATTTGCCAATTCCAACTGCTACCTCAAGGAACAACTCTTTTGACTTTGTTTCTTTGATTTCTAGAAATAGTACAGCCTCATCAAGAAATTTGAACAGCCGTAAAGAACATGACCAAGAAGAAGAGAATCTAATGAGCAGTGAGACTTTTGTCAATGAAGCCTATGATGAACAGGTATGCCTGGAAGTGTCTTTGAGGAAAACAGATTCTTGAGAGAGAGCTACAGAATGACCCTTCTGAAAGATCCTAGGCGGGTGAAAGGAGGCAGTGTTAACTAGAGAATGATGCGATTATGTATATCAAACGAATGGTCAGTAATTTTTTTGTCTTTAGACTCTGTTCCATCTTTAGTTATTCAAACCGGAGTGAAACATGCATGAAATAGTAATCAAGAAATTCAGCTTTTGCCCTAGCCAGTTTTGCTCAATGGTTAGAGCGTGGGCCAGTGGGCCGAAGGATCACAAGTTTGATTCCCAGTCAAGGGCACCTACCTCAGTTGCAGGCTTGATCCCTGGGCCTGGTCAGAGCATGTGTAGGAGGAAACCAATCAATATATCTCTCTCACATCAATGCCTCTCTCTCTCTCTCTCCTCCTTTTCCTCCTCCTCCTCTTCTCTCCCTTCCCACTCTTTCTTAAAAAAAAATCAATGGGAAAATATCCTCAGGTAAGGATTTAAATAATAATAATAATAATAATAATAATAATAATAATAATAAATAGTGTTTTAAAAAATTAAAAAGAAAAAGAACTTCAGCTTTTGGTGTACTTCCACAAGGAGTCCAGTCCTATTGTGGGGTGGGCTGTGGGACGTTATCAGGGTTAGTTGGAATTACTCCTGAAGTTTATAGCTCCCTGTGATTTCTTCTAACTTCTGTATAGCTCAACCATCTCTTTGTTTTTGCTTTGTTTCAATGTAGTGCATATTCTCTAACTTGAACTCTCTTTTCTTACAGGAATTGTTGACCGCTTTGCAAACTGATTAATCTGATTTTTTTTTAAAAGGAGCGGAAGCATCTCAATAAAAACTGTTTATACATTTCATTGTGTACTGTTTTAACTTCTGGAACAGTTTGTGGCCAATGGTAACTCTTTATTAAAATAACTGCTTTTTCTTTCTTTTTTTTTTTAAGGACAGGAAGAGACTTTGAGAGGTGATGAGTCATGTTGACTATCTTTCATTGTTAATATATTTTTATTGATTTCAGAGAGGAAGGGAGAGGGAGAAAGAGAGAAACATCAATGATGAGAGAGAATCATTGATCAGCTGCCTCCTGCATGCCCCCTTTTGGGGATTGAGCCTGCAACCTGGGCATGTGCCCTTGACCGGAATCGAAGCCAGGACCCTTCAGTCCACAGGTAGACACTCTATCCACTGAGCCAAACCGGCTAGGGCTGAAATAGCTGATTTTTCGATCGGAGGCAGTCATCTGGTTTTGTTAGTGGGTATTGATTTCAGAATGATCTCCATGTTACTGAGGTCACGGCTTATCAGCAGAAACTTTCTGATCCCAGTACCGGCCCAGAACTAGGCAGGGGTTCTGGATTTGAATCTTGGCTCTGACAATAACTTTGAGCTACTTAATTTCTCTGAATTATTTTCTCCATCTTACAAAAGGGAATGATTTATCTTAAGTCTTTACCTTTCAGGATAGAGGTCAGTTTTCTGCACTGCAGTAAATGTGCAAGGGTTAGTTCCCTACCACTCCCTCTCTCAAATTTTGCTGTGAAGTTAGTCCTCACTTTTTCTGAAAATTTGTAAAATCAGCGTTTTTCTTATGCTTTCATATGATTCTAAAACTAAGTACAGGTGAACTACTTTTCAGACGTAGAAACTCAGATTAATGATTTGTCTGACTTTGAAGTAAAGTGGGTGGATACTATGGGCACAACATATGGAGTTATGGTGTGGACCAGGACTCATTTCAACTAGCTCTTGCCGGCTGGGGAAACATCCAGATGCTACTTAGATCCCATGTCCCTCTGACAGCTTGTACCTCAGCTTGTCTTCCTGGATCTACTTTACTCACACCCACATAAGGAATCAGGGCCATTGACTCTGATAGGAGACAGGAAACCAAGCAGGAGTATGGTCTGGAATTCGATAGGAGCAACTTGGGCAAATCACTTCATCATGAAATTGTTTTCCCAATGATTAAAATGGGATTAACCGAACCTACATCAGGCCAACTAGGCATCGAATGAACATGCCTGTGCGCTTAGACCTGAGTCTGACAACATGAGTCCCAATGATAATAAACACAACTTGACTTGGAAGACTTTTCTTGCTTGGATCTGGTCTAGGCCACTCATAGTTTCTTGCAGAATGAGTCTTATGGGCTTCCAAGCATAAGGAGAAGTCCTAGACTTATGACTGAGGGTGTAGTACATAAAATAAACGGTGCTTTCCAATCAAGTGTAAAAATCCCCCAGGAATCAACCTGACCTGAAGACCAAACGCTGGGGCTCCGCCTTCCTGGAGGCTGGGAGATGCAGCAGTGGCATTAAGTTCCCTCAGGGGCCCAGCTATCTATGAGAGAAACCATTTCAGCACCATCGTTCCTTCCACCCCTTCTCATCCACAGGGTGAATCTTAGGTGTATCTTGCTACCTGCTCCCAAGAGCCATCCTCACTGCCAAGTTTGCCCTTGGCAGGGCTGTGCCTCTCTCTGTGCAAAAGTGCATAGAAATGACACAAAAGAATCCAAGCCAAAGGCACATGTGAATGATGCACAACAGTATTTCCACTTTTTGGACACGCTTAAGCCGCTGCTGATGTCTCCATTCCTAGTAGCCCTTGAGCTCCACCAGACTTCCAGGCCTTGTGTTTGTCTCACTAGCTCAGCCTGCTTTCACATTCCAATTCCTCTCAGCCCCACCCTTCTGGTCTGCAAGCCCCATTTCCTACTTTGCACCATAAACACCCCCTACCCCCTGTTCCTGGGAAAAAGAAAGCGGACTGCAGCCGAATCTTCTAGTATGTCCAGTGTGCAGCCTTCTCACCTGCTGCTTTTTTATATCTTTTTCTATCATTGGTTTCTTAGGAATGTCTGCCTAAGTGTCACCCTGCCTGAATCTGCTTAACACACCCTGTTATGCTTTCCCTATTCAAGAATTTACAAAACATACCGAATGTCCTTTTCACCAGAAGGACTTAATTTCATAAATGGACACTT